GTCATTTGTTTCAGTGGGAATGATAGAGATATTATTTTTAGATTAGGGAGAGGGAAATCTTTTACCATAATTTACAATTGGTGACCCAATAAATCTAGGAATCTTAGGCTATGTTCATACTGCAGGCCTTCATGCAACTTCCATCCATCCATTATCTGAAACGCTTGTCCCGAGTGGGGTCACGAGGGGTGCTGGTGCTTATCTCCAGCTGTCAATGGGCGAGAGGTGGGGGGACAGGTCGCCAGTCCATCGCAGGGCTCAATTTTTTTGTGAAATCAGATTTCTTGCCATTGCCATTCACATTTCCAAATAAATGCGACTAGTATCTACTGTATACATTGTGATCTCCTGTGTGAACGGCATTCATACAGCTTAAGTGTCCCATATGCGCAGTACCTGACGCAATGACGTCACAAGCTAGCGTGCTCTGTGTTTACATAAGTAAACATGGATGGTAGTGCCAGAGTGCATCTAGTGAACTTTACCAACCTTAAATATACAATCTTTTCAATATAGTTAAACATAAATACTACTTTCTGCATCATCGTCCGCCATGGTTGTTGTTTTTCTTGCCGCCTCTGCATAGCAAGACGCATATTAGTGACCTATGTGGGGTATTAAAGGCGTACAGGTCGGATGAATGCGACCTCGCCGTTCAGACACAGGTTGCATTTGAAAAGATTGGATTTGTATCGGATTCTGGACCACATAGCCAAGTGGCCTGGGTCCCATTGGAAAAAATCGGATCTTGCTCAGACTGTAATAAAAGATCAGGTACAGGTCACATAAAATTTGGATTTGGGTCACTTCAGGCTGCTGTGTGAACGTAGACTTAGACAATAAATAAGAAATGGAATTTGCCACCCCTGTGGTTTTGTATGAACAAGTGATATATGGACAAGCAGTTATTTTGAAAGATTGATTGTTTCATTTTGCTACATTGCAGTGTTTCCAGTGCTGTTCAGGGTCACTAAACCTGGAAGCTAAAGGTCTAGCACCCCCATAGTGGCTAAAAGTTCCTCTTAGTGCCAATATCATGGAAAAAATACTTTTTTGAACTTTTTACTTTTTCGTAATTCTATTCTATAGTAGAAATATGCCCAAAAAGTATATTCGAAATGATTCTAAGTAATCTTTCACGAAGCAATTCTATTCTCTGAGCAGCAGCCATCTTGCTGGCAATGTGTTTCCTGGAACGGGGCACCTTTTACAGTTGTCTTTTGTATCTCTGCTTCTTTCTGTATGTCCGCTTCTGTCTCCTTGAACCCCAGTCGGCCTCGGCAGATGGCCGCTCACACTGAGCCTGGTTCTGCTGGAGGTTTCTTCCTGTCAAAAGGGAGTTTTCCTCTCCACTGTCGCTACAAGCATGCTTAGTGTGAGGGATTGCTTTCGAGTCAATGATTCGATGCCATTAATTGGGTTTCCTTAGATAGAAAACTTTGAATCAATTTGACTGTATGATCTGGTTGAACTATCTACACAGTAAACAACATTCAAACTTTCTCCATAAGCAGTAATGTGTGGCAGAGCGAAATAATTCCCGCTCAAAGTCGGAACAAAGCGGCTCCTCTATATGGCAGCCAACTGGTGCAAACATACAATAACCAACTAAATGAACTGTGAAAATGTATATGATGCATACAAAATGCAAGCACAAGTAACAAATACAACAGAGAAAATAAAATAATAAAATAAAGAACGCTGCAAACAGGTATAAACACACAGCCAATGGCATAAATTAGCTGCAAAGACACATATGATGTAAACTCCAAAAACACATAAACACAAAAAAAACTAAATGCAACAGCAAATCCCTGCAAAGAAAAATTCTGCAATCACTAAATATAGAATCAAAGAAAAAATATACAAACAAAAATGCTGCAACCACAAACAAAATGCTGTAACCACAAAAAGAAAATGATGTAAATAGTAAAAACAGCAGTAAACTGCCTCTACAACTGGGAAGTGTTCCAAACCGCTAATAGGAAGTTCAACATAAATTGAACCAGAGCCTCCATTGACAGCAAGTCAATGTTTAAAGCAGGATTTTAAAAAGACAACGTTTTAAGAAGCAACTGAGATTTCCCTTATCTTTTGTGTCATTTCAAAGCACATAGTCTTACAGTATTAGAGAATAATAGCATAGTTATGCATAGTAGCATATGTATAGTATAAGTAACACTCACACCAAATAATACTAATATGGGTTTTTCTTTGTTCAACTCCATCTAGTGGTCTGGAGGACTTCCTTTTTGCAGAGTGAGGTTGCTGCTGTTTTTATAATTTGCATAATTTTTGTTTTGTGATTGCAGTGTTTTGTTTTTGCTGGCATCGTTTTGTCTGTGGCTGCAGAATTTTGTTTGTGGTAACAGCATTTGTTTTTTGCATTTGTGTTGCTGTTTTTAGGTTTTTGTGTAATTTTCAGCGACATCTAACGTCCAGACTGCAGACTGCAGCAACATGAAAGTCTCCCCCCACCGCTTCTCCCCCCCAACAGTACGGCGAGCGTTACGGGACAAAATGTCTTCCACGACGTCCGCATCACCTACCTTCTCAAGTGATGAGGTTTGTTTACATAGATAATTTTACAGATAGTATTTCATTAGTCTGTGTAGGGTATAGATTTCATGTAGACTTTAGATAATAAATATACCCGTTATTTTTTCTACGTCGTTGTGACGTTTTGGTGAGCTGCATTGCATGGTGATATAAACAGACGAAGTAATTGTAGTCATTAGTTTAACAGCGAGATTGTGTTCGCTGGAAGAATATATATTCCCCGTTTACAGAGTCCAAGTCTTGTTTGTGGCACGGGGGTTACAAGGCGAGGAAGAGGGCGAGGAAGAGGTATACTGGAGAGTAACAGCATCATCACGCAGCATGTTATTGTTTTAGACAGGTCTGAGCATCCTGTACTCCAAAAACTGCAGTGATATTAGACAATTGTGTGTGTAGGATTAATTACCTGTCCAAGAGAAAACTGGCAACTTGAGCGTCACTTTGAAAACCTTTTTCCTCCATCAGTGACTTCCATCGTGTAAATGCCGTGCCAATGTTGATCCGTGTTTTTTGTCGTTTCTTGTCACGCTTGCGTTTATTCTCGTCGTGTTTCCGCTTCTTAGATGACGGGGGTTCGGTGTCCACCGCTTTTCGTTGTGATACAGAGTAGGCATGATCCTCCATTCGTCTGATGTTTGGCCACACAGTGCCAAACAGTTTGCAAAGTCACTCACGCCTGCCGCCTTGTTCACCTTTCTTGTTACTGAGGCGCAGTATACCTGCTTTTTCTTCTTCTTCTTTGGCTTCAGGCAGACTAAACGCTTCTCAGGCATAATACTGCCATCTACTGTTCAGTACCGTCTCAGTTAATCTCTCTCAACTTGCCGTAGTTATTTTTGAGCGTAATGGGAGATCTCGCAATCGCTAGTTTGTTGCCTCTGCGCTTGCCGTAGCGCAAAGATGTCTGCCCCCATGGCTGCGAGACCCGCTGCTATGTAATTATAAATAACGAATTCTAAGGCAACGCAAATATTATGGTTAAAAGGCTGAGTTCATAGGTGATGATAAATAACATAGTTATGTATAATATATTAAATTTCTGACTTTATATGCCTGTAATTATTACCCACTGTAGCTTTAAGTGATTGCAGCAATTGTTGTTTGCTACATTTTTCAGATACATTTGCTTTTCATGTTTGCATGCTTGCTGTTCTTGAAGCACATGTTTGCAACTTGTTTAGTTGTTTACTGCGCCTTGCCACCTGTTGGCAACTACTTTTAGAATCCAATTTGAACCCAACTTGTGGTCATTTGCCGCATGTCTCTCCCCTTCTCTTATACCCCCTTTCATTTCAGCCTTCTGTCAAAAAAAAAATGGCATAGTGCGGTAAAAACAAAAAAACAAAAGAATCTAATTTGCACAGAGACAGCGACTATTTTTTGGGAGGTGTACGACTTTGTTTAGCCTTCCTAAAGAAGAGCTGAACCTCTAGAAGTGGCCTGATACTGTGCTGCATGTCACTCTTTGCTGACGTCATGTTATGGGCAGCAGGTTCTCTTTGCATGGTGCTGTACATGCAGCAACATAGAACATCACAATCCTTTCTAGTCAGATGGTCTGCTGTTTTGTCATTTATACTGTAGAAGCCTTTAAAACATTACAGATTGGATTTTGCCAAACCCTAATATGCAAATGCATTTTGGCTTCTACAGAGGACAGCATGCTGGGAAACTCCCTGGTGTTGAGTAACTCTGCAGGGGTAGGTTTAAAGTAAATGCAAGACTGAATTAAACTGGGCCCTGCTGTGAGAGGATGTATTTCTGTCTTCTCTTAATCTCTCAGCATAAAAAAAACATGTCAGTAATTTTAAACTAAAGGGAAAATAATTGTTCAGTCAGTATTAACAATTTTAAGAACTCATCCTATTATGTTCATCAATATTTCATTTATTTGTTTTGTCAGATAAACAGAATTTTGTTACTATGCAGATTAACTGTAGATAGATTACAGCAGAAATCTACTGAGCTGGAAAATTCATACCTACATGGACAGTGCAATTTGCGATGCAAAATTTAATTAGACTTTTGGGATCAAATACATTTTAATCCTCTTTTATGAACGTGATTTTATCTATTATTTTAGTTAAAACAATTAAGTAAATATGCATCACCAACACACAAGGCAATTATTTGCAAGGCTTTTTCCCCGTTGTAGCCTTAACATAAAGATCTCTCAGAGGGGATCTTTGAATGCAAATGCTTGCAAAGATTTATCAAATTTATTTGCTCCCTTTTCTCACAACTGCTGCAATCCGATGGGAAATTATTAGCCTATTAATGTTTGTCTGCATGCAGCTCATCACAGCTCTGCTGTGAAAATAGTGTTTTCTTTTTCTCTGGCTCTAGGCCAGAGACCCTCCATCAAACCCTCCACCAGCCTGCTTGTCCATGCAACTGGAGGCAAATCTTAAAGCTAATGTTGACAGATCAAGAAGACTAACCTGTGCCACTCTGATGAAATGGGAAACGACAGCTGCTCTCTGCGGGGCGGTGGGCTTGCTGAGTACCATAAGCTGGATCCACTGGGAGACACTATTAAAGAGCGTGATGAAGCGCTCCAGAATGGGGTTGTCCACCGTGCAGCCGTGCATCACGAAGCTGTGGTAGTCCTGAAACTAAAAAGCCAAAATGTCACCAAAATGGTCTTGTAAAAGTAAAAATGCAAAAGGCAGGTCATTATAACTGAAGCCACAGCTGCCTTGAGGCAGACTGATGCTAACAGCGAGGAAAGTGAAACCTCTTGTCCTAGGACATAATGATGGACAGAGCTGGGAATGGAACCAGCAACCTGTCATTAGCTGATTAGTGAGTGTCACAAATAGGCATGACAAAACCAAATATTGCAATCTGTTACATGAAACTATATATAATTCAGTTATACAATTAAGCTGTTTGATTAAAGTAGAAAGTTAGAGAAAGATAAATGAGGTAATGTTACAAAAGGTCACCAAAAACAAAATACCATGCTGTATGATTTACAGTGAAACATCACAATATGGAGCAGTAGGGATGCACAATATAATCGGCCCCCTATCGGTATCGGCCTGTATCGGCCTTAAAACTGAATATCGGACATCGGCCACCCCACCGATATTTAACCCGTTATTTGATCAGCTTCTGAGTTTCTAAAGTCTAAAAAAATAAAAAATACTACTTCTTCTTCTTCCTCAAAAACTTCTTTTTTACAGACTTAAAAACTTCTAAAGATGGGGGAAAAAATATTGATACATTAAAATATCACAATATCTTCATATGCTGATATATTGCCATTTAAAAACACCATATCAATCTCTTTTACTAATGAAATATTGCTATATGTCATCGTTATGCTACGAAATCCCCCGAAAATTCACAAAATTTTGCCATATTTTTATATGTTGATATATTGACGCGGTATCGATCTATTTTACTAACAAAATCTCACAAGAATTTGCTGCAAAATATCACGAGAGTTTGTAACAGAACGATGAAATTTCAAGAGATTTTGAAAGTAAAATAGATCGATACCGCGTTTTTAAAAATCTATTTGATATCAGCATATGAAAATATATTTGAGTATATTATTTTTCAAAGTGTCAGAAATGGATAACAAAACTGCTATTTTCAATGACTACTTATTTTTGTCCAACTTTAACATCGGTATCGATATCGGTTATCGGCTACATGAGTTTTAAAATATCGGCATATCGGATATCGGCCAAAATCCCAATATCGTGCATCCCTATGGAGCAGTAAAAAAATATTATGCAAATAGTACTTTGCCATACAAAATATTAAATAAAGAGACAGTAAGCGATTCAAAACAATTTTAAGTGCTATTTCCAGGTATTTAAAGCTCTCCAAACCACTACTGCCTCAACCTCCCTCCAAACCTGGCACGGGTCTATTCTTGGAGATAGAAAACCTAGAACCATAACGCTTCCGCCGTATTTGTTGGGGGTTTCTTCTGCATGCAAAAGTACAATGACTATGTTGCTGTTGTTTTAGGACAAATAAGGCAACTCTATGCATGTCAGAGTGCTTCTATTCGATATAAAGTCTGTCTTCTTTGATCATTGAATCAGATTTTGGTACCTTTGGCAGTGTGGGCAAATGCCAAGTCCTGCTGGAAAATATAATTTGGTTCTCCTAAGAGCTTGTTAGCATAAACCAATCAGATCAACGAAGCATATGACGTACTAACAGAGTGACGACGAAAACATAACCACAAGCCAGGCGGGAGAAGAGCAAAAACATCTTTTCCTCTGAGAAAAGCCTCCAGAGCAGTGTTTTGGTCTTCTTTCAGTGAAGAAAAACTTTCTCGATAGCCATGCTAACGCTAGTTTCATCGGCTGAAGCCGCCATGTTCTTTAGACTGAACTGTCGCGCATCTCCTTGCGTCACACCTCAACCCGCCTCAAAGCCAACGCTGATTGGACGTTCGTTTGATGAACGGCTCCAAATTTTCTTTAACGGAGAGTCTCCAGACTGATTAGCGAGTGAAATCTTGAAAGCTCGCGAGATCAGGATAGTCTCACGAAGCTAGCGAAGTTGACCAACAGCAGCAAATAAATCTCCACTTATTCTGGAATCTTCTTACTGGACTTCAATCAAAGAGGATTCTGTGTCTTTCCTATCTTCCTCCAGACTCAAAAATGTTGTTTAAAATGTACTTTGACCACTTAGCAACAGTTCTTTTTCTACTTAGCTCAGATAAGATGCTTTTGAAATTATCTCTGATTATACACTGACTTGACACAGAGGATTTGTTAATCCATTGCCCCATTTATGCTACCCCTCTGAAACCGATCCCTGGCGAGTTCGGACAGAGCTTGGATCAGTTACCGTGCCGAGCTTGTTTTTTTCGACCATTTACACATCCCTCGGTTCCTCGGTTCGGGGCTCCATGATACTACAGCTATCAAGGCGGGAATTACACAAACAAAAACGGTAGCACCCATAACAGCTCCCATGTCAGAGGATAAAGAGAGCACATCCAGCCTGTCACAGATGCGGTTGTATTAGAAGAAATGGGGTTGTGTATTGAAATACAATTTTCAAAACAGTCAGAAAAGGTTACCAATCCAAATAGCTAATAAGCTCACTGTTAACATAAATATATATATATATATATATAGTGGAAATTCCCTCTAAACCAAAATAGATCAGTTCAAAAAGGGTTTTCTAACTTTAAATCTGCAGATATTCAAGCTAAAAACATTTTTTAAGAATAAACTGAATATATACACCATCCTGTAAAAGCTAACTTTAGTCTTTATTGCTCAGCAACCACAGTTAACCTGTGGCATTACTTTAGGGGCTGTAAACAACTTCACTCTAACATCACTTCTTGGCTATTCTCACACTAACCAGAATCTTGCAGAAGGATTTGTACTCCAGGAAGGTCAGGTGCTCTGCCAGTTCAGATGAATCAAGGTGGTCGAACAGCAGGGACATTTTCCTCTTCTTAGACACAGATGGAACACGCTGAGTCACCTGCCGTTTCCATTTATATGACGGCCTGTAAGGAGAGACATAGAACAGTTCTTGTTTTTCTTTATAGATCCTTTTTTCTTTTACATAGTACCATAAAAGTCATAAGGATCCAGAATAATACCCATTGCAACATATTACCAGTCCCTTAAAACTTTAGTGAAGCATAGTGATTCATCTGTTACTAATACATTTCTATTAGAAAATATCTTTTCTAAAATAAAAAAAGGTTGAACTGAATTTTTAACTGATATTTAAATAAATAATCAGTGGCTGGCCCTTTGCTGCATAGTCTAGCAGTGTCAATCAACAGGCCATAAAACAGACTGCTGACAGTGGCAGGGAAAGGCTTTCAGTCACACTGTTTGTTTACAGATAGTCCTCAGCAGCCTGTTCACTCACACACTGTCCAGGTCGATGAGCTGACTCTGCCTCTCATTGCCTTCGGTGGACAGGAGGTCTTTAAAGTGTTTGATCTGCTCCTCCAGCTCTGGATTTAGATTGAACTCAGCAGGAAACTCAGAAATCCAGTACCTAGAAGAAAGGCAGCATGAAAAACAGCAGACAGATGATGCAATACAGTGTGCTGAAAATAGTGTTGTTTGCCGTAGTCTGACACAATTTGTGCAGCCTGACATATTTCATGGATCTATCTTTTTGGATTGTTACTATTATAACAAGGAAAAATTTAACGCAGTGCGTCAGTTTTTGTCAAATTTCCTAAGCAGTGGGTCATAAAGTTTTTACGTTGCTTTTTTATTTAGGTAAATTTAGGTTTTATATGCTGTATGAACAAAATGTTGCATATACTGTACTTGGCAATAAAAGGAAAAATATTTTTAAAATGCTTAAAAAACAAAAACCTACAAATTGGGAATGCTGTTTGATATAGCCTCATTTACTTTGTAAATAAAATGTAAATAAATAAAATCCACTGCAACTAATATCTGCAATGTGCTTCTTTTATCTCTATGCATTTATCATTGTGAAGACAGATCCAATGCTCGGTTCTTCCAGAGAGCAGAAAAAAAACAAGATTTTCTTTTGTATTTAGAGTTCTTAAAGAAAATAAGATACGGCAAATAATTTAATCAGCAGAATAAAACTTTATAAAATCTGTGATTGGAGATTGGAATCAACATTTTCTAAATGGTGCATGAATCTAAAACATCCAGACCACAATAAAACAAACATTGTGTGTAATTTGATCTGGTTGTAAAAGCTATCTTAGGGGCTTTTTGGTTTACTGTAGTATACAAGAATTGGGCTAAAGTAAAAACTCTTGAAAATACAATAACACTTTCATGTTAGCGCTTGTAGAAGTGTGTACAAGTTCAAATGGTGTGAATGCATGTGCAAGGCACTATATGACTAAATGAAATACGAGGCCTAATTAAAGAACTAGAGTGAGATATAAGAGTCAGAGATGACAGCTCGAAAGATCAGGGACAAAAAAAGAAAATTTTTATCAGACAGCGAAGAGAGATCATTACTTTACAAGGTGACATATTCTTGTTCGTCGCTCCTCAGTACAAGTCTCCTCCTGGGATCTTGTTCTTAAGTTAAGATGCAAATATCTTTAAATATACACAGGCTTTCTGCTACATGTAATTTATGGTGGCGTAACTCTACAGTACAAAAAAAACAACAAATATTTTTTAAAGTCATAAGGATCCAAGTTCATACCCACTGCAACATATTATCAGTCCCTTAAACCATTAATGAAGCACAGTGATTTATCTGTTATTGCTGAATTTATATTAGAAAATATTGAGAATGAGAATATTTTAAAACAATATAAAGCATATGATATAGCATAATGTTATTTAGACTTTTTTCTAATCACAATCAGAGTTTAAACTTAATTTAAATATTAAAAAAATGTTAAAATTTACTTTAATATGAAAACCCGCATTTGTTCTATCTTCCTGCAATGTTATCCATCGTATGGAGCTAACTGCCGGTGTTCTGTCAGAGGAGCATACCCGGTCAGACCAGCATACCCTTGGTCGATACCCGTTTTTAGTTTTGTACGAAAAATACAGTTTAAACTACTTCAACGGGCATGTTTTCCTTTAGTCATGTAAAAAAAAAAAACTATTTAATTACTTAGTTTTTGGTGTTTTTAAAACTTATGGCAATCTGACCCTAAATTGTTTGTTTTTTTTGTACATGACTAAAAGGATACATACGGAAGAGGATTAGGGCCACTGAAAAAAAAAAAAAGTTAACTGATTTTTACATTTTATTTCAGTTTAATATGGGAAAAAAGACAGAATTCTGACTTTTTTCTCAGAATTCTGACTTTAATTTCAGAATTCTGACTTTTTTCTCAGAATTCTGACTTTAATCTCAGAATTCTGACTTTTTTCTCAGAATTCTGACTTTAATCTCAGAATTTTGGATCTTAATGTAGACGGGCACCATGAAGGAAGAGATGTGGGAGCACTCAGCTTCACTGACAAAGATGTGAGTTGTTTGAGAGGGCCAGTGACACATTAGTGGAAAATGACGGAATTAGGCAACTTTTTACGTGCCCGAGGGATCCCCTCATTAATGGAGGAGCAGAAGGTCAATAAAACAAGAGAGCTAGTCTCTAAAACAGACATGGCTATGGCTTGATGCTAACACGTTTGTTAGCTGTCAGAATTCTAAGAAAAAAGTCAGAATTCTGAGATTAAAGTCAGAATTCTGAGAAAAAAGTCAGAATTCTGAGATTAAAGTCAGAATTCTGAGAAAAAAGTCAGAATCCTGAGATTAAAGTCAGAATCCTGAGATTAAAGTCAGAATTCTGAGAAAAAAGTCAGAATCCTGAGATCAAAGTCAGAATTCTGAGATTAAAGTCAGAATTCTGAGAATGTTAAACTGAAATAAAATTAAAAAATCAGTTAACCTTTTTTTTTCAGTGGCCCTAATCCTCTTCCGTAGATACAAACCTGTAGTTTAAAGTCTATTTTTCGTACAAAACTAAAGGGATAAACCCAAATCTGACGTCTTGGACATGCGTATTGACTATCGGTATGCTGGTCTAACTAGGTATGCTGATTTGACAAGACAGCGGCTGTAGTTTACTGCTCTTAGTAATAAGGAAAATCTGGTGTCAACAGTCCAGCGCTGACTTAAAAAACTTTGTTATGTTTGGGGACATTTTAAACCGTCTAGCATTTTTGTTCTCGGACAGAAAACAAATAGCCTCAGTGCAGTTTTGGATACACTGTAGCTGTGGTGTAATGCTATGTGATGTCTTTTACTTTGAAAAGCAACAGAATATAGAGCGGGGGTTTTCCGGTCCCTAACAGCTGTTTGTAATTTAAGTGTATGTGAGACAGAAGCTGCAGCTCTGTGTGAGATACTTATCAGTAAATACACTTGACAGTAGCTTGCCACCATCAGTGTGTGAGTGTGTGTTTAAAATTGTGAATAGCACATGCGTAAAGCGTAAATATTCTTTCTGTCATGATTTGTGGACATTAAGATCTAAAGAGAAGCGTCATCTCCTGGTCAGACCCTGTGATTCAAGTATGGAGTCAGAGTAAAGAAAATATGCAAGAGGGGGTCATTCCAGTGGATGGAAGTTGGAGAGGATTTCGCTGGGAGTTGCAGGAAAGTGGGCTGCCATTCGGCTGGGGTTTGACTGGGAAGGGCCATTTTGAATGGCTGCTACTGTATATACAAGTAAAGGCAATTTACCATTTTTGGTGTTTGTCTCACAGGCACAGGCATCTGCCTTGTCCCAAGAGCTAAGACTAAGAGAGCAGAGGGGAGACTTGCTTAGTTTCCCCACAGCTAATGTACAACATAAGCAAGGCTGCAGATAATTCTGCCCTGGATTACAAAGATAATGCAAATATAAGTTTTGACCTAGACATTTTTACTCTCTGACACTGTTACACTAAAATAATTACCGGATGACAACAAAGCTTGAATACAGCTTGATCACCTCATAATGCATGTACCTCAAATTGTCTTTTCATTAAATTGTGCTGTAGGCACAGTGGTTTCAGGCAATTTATAAACAATCAATGCACTGTTTCATAAGTCAGAATTTAACAAAATTTTAAAGACATTAATGTAGTTAATTATTATTGTTTTGATTCAGATATGCATGACCTGTGCTGCCATCAAGGTTAGAAAAATAACAGGAAATTCTGGAAGACTTGGCTTTAATTTCTGTTTCAAGTTCAAAACATTCTTTTTGAGAAAAAAAGGAAGCATAAGAGTTTAATTTTACATATTTTTCTATACAAAGGTGGGCGTTGTCATTAAAAGCCCTAATTGTGGCTGTGTGTTCATAGGCAAACGTAGGAGAATGTGAAATGTTTGCAGATGTCAAAGGATACTTGAGCACTAGCTTGTTGGCCATGTCAGTGGAAGGGATGTACCAGGGATGCATCATGAGGAACATGCGGACCAAGGAAGCATCCTTCAAAACACCTTTCTCATCTTTAAATAGAAATCAGGTTTAGTCAGAATACGTCTGCTTCTATAAATTACACATTAAAACCTTTTTTTAAATGAGGTTGAAAGACAAACCGAAGGCTTGGATGCATGCCTCCAACAGCTCGTCCACCGTGGCAGACTGCTCTGATAATGGACACTCCATGGTTCCCTCCTTCTATGAGTATACCTCGCCTCCCACAGTCTGGTTGGAATCTTGTGTAAACATAGAAACAGATGAGAAGAAATGATCAGAATGGGAGAGAATGACTGAGTAAATGACACATTCGCAAACAGAAAACACTGTTACGTTAAAAGCTGACTTTCAAATCCAGTCCTCCCTGGAGTTCTCATACAGTATGCTCATCAAGGATGTCAATGTGTTTAATGATTCTGGTTTCAAAAGGATTTAGTTATTTTCAATGAGTTTCCTGTTGATTCTGACTGGATGTCCATTCTGAAACCACTGCTGATATCTGTGGAGTGACATTCTGGTTGCACACCTAGATGTAGCTGATCATTTAAAAGGAAGTTGAGGAATATGGATATAGTCAAACTTTTGTGTCTGTCGATATACACTACCCCGAACTCCCCACGTAGAAAAGTGTTAGATTGACCTGGTTTAAGTCAGGAAAAATCTTTGAGGAACCCATTGCTATCTGATTATTTATTGTTTAATTTAGAAAATAATCAACAATCAATCAAAAGTAGCAGTCATACTTTCTCTTACTTATTTGGCCTGTCATCTGGTTTGAAAGTGTCTCCAGTATAAATCCAGAATAGAATTTAGAGTCCTCCTTCTCATTTATACAGCCCTAATTAACCAAGCCCTATCTTAACGTATATCTCGCTGACGTTTCCTTATGTTCCTAACAGAGCCCATTGCTCTCGATCTGCAGGTTTACCACTGGTTTCTAGAATTTCCTTTACGGTAGTTATCAGGTACCTCTCCTGTAGAACTAACTTCCATTTTTAGTCAATGAGGCAGAAACCCTGTCTGATCTCAAGACTAGGCCTAAAACTTTCCTTTTTGAAACAGCTTATAGATAGAATAGCTCAAGTACAATAGCTCAAGTTCTATAACTTTGTTACTATAAGCTTAGGCTGCTGGAGGACATAGGGACCACTTTTTATTAATCTGCTTCATTCTATTTCTATTCTCCAATTCTGCAGTATTTGTCAGTTCAACCACTAACTGTACGTTCTCTCTTTGATACGTACCTTTTGACATGAAAACAAACTTACAGCTCATCTGCTTATTTGTTTTGTTCACAGACCGAGACACCTGCGGATCTAGTTTACTAGTATCCTATTCATAGAAAGTATTCATGGATCAGTGCTTTTTGTGTTCTTTGAACCAACAGTCAACCTTGACAGATGGTCGCTCACACTGAGCCTCGTTCTGCTGTGGGTTTCTGTTAGGTTAAAGGGAATTTTTCCTCTCTTTGCTGCAGTTCCTCCCACAAAACCAGAGATGGGAAATGTGAAGCCTTCAAGTCATCTTTGTGTCATGTAGTTGTTCTGTCTAGCCACTGAACCAGGTGAGTCCAATCTGCACAGTGAATTAAATAGTGCAGATTGGAATCATCAGGTTCAGTGGTAGGGCAGAACAAATACATCACATGGAGATGACTTGATGGCTCCACATCTGGTATAACATCTCCTCCGATCATGCAGAAAAGATTTCCACAACCCCTCCACCACCCACCTCACTCTGAGCATTAGCATTCTGGTCACCTGTGGACTGCATAAGTCTTCCCAACAGGGCAAATTAAATATACGTAAACTTACTTTGAATCCAAAATCCAAATCCAAGGGGTAATTGATAATGTGATTTGGCATACACTGGCAATTTTAAGGTAACTTATAAACACTTTATGTCTTATCAGCTTATGCCTTTATGAAACTCAATTATGCACACATAAGGTCTATTTTGATAAGAACCCTGACATGTTCATGTAAGGAAATATTCTGAACCACCATACCTATGTGAATCTCCATAATCAAGACATGAAATCACCTCCCATAGGATTACAGGCATACATCATATTTTCCAATTTTCAATAATAAAAAGGTTAAAACATAAAAATGTGCTTTACATCTCTTATTAATCAAATATGTGAGAAGTATTTTGATTGTTCACAATTAAATATTGTCATGAGTCTGCAATGGAACAAGAAAAATGTTTTTTCTTTGCTTTTTTGGAGAAAATACCTGAAGCCATAACTATAGCACAATATGTTTTACAAAGAACCGATTTATCGCTGAGCAAACGAGTCCCAGTTTTCATACACACACAAAAAATATTTCACCCAAATTTTAAGAATGATATAATTTCATTACAAAATATTTTCCTATTTCCTTTTTACAGTTGATTTAACCCAAACCTATTTAATCAGGCATTATTCATTATTTTGATATATATTATTTATTTAAAATACATAATTATCAGGTTTACGAATTTAGCATTAATAAGTGTAGTTATTAATATCATAGTTTAAATAATACTAATGATTCATTTGTATAAAATACATAAAGTTTATTGTTTGAATTGCATACATTTCCTTTATGAGCACTAAAAACATAAACTTGATAATCATTTATTTTTCTAAAATAATCTTTATTATACAAGTTATTATGCATCATGTAAGTTTTATTTATTGTGTTCTGTTCAAATTATCTCAAAGACAATAAATGGAAATTTTATTTCCAAAACAATTTAAAATCCTTTGAAATTATGAAATAAATTACTTAATAAACTCTTCGCTTCAAGGTCAGTTATTATTATCACATCAGGTCACATTGAATCCCAAAATTACCACCTTTTATTATGCTACCTGAAAAACAACAATATCCAACATTGAATAAACCCATATTGTAGTAAACCTTACTTGTTACTATAGAGTAAAAGTCTGTATCATCGCAAGGACTGTATCCTAGTTAGTTTTTTGAAGAACATAAAAAAATCATAATCCTCAAGACGGATGAAGGGTTCTGTCTTGTTACTTAGGTAAAACCAAATAACTAAACTTACACTTTTGATATTCACCATTCTACTACAAGACTAGACATAATTGGTTTAACTGAGGATAAAAGCAATTCCCCACAGATGCAAAACATTAACAGCTCCATGTGATAGCTAATGTGCTGAAACACATATTTATATGCCAATGGCATTCTTGCCCCAATCCAATCACTTCTTGGCCATCCTGCTCAACATGTCACAGACTGAAGAGTCATTCTCTACCCCCTAAACATGTCTTCCACATTTCCAGGAGTGGAAAGAAGGTCCCTGACTGCCTGAGGGACTGAGGACAACCAAGCAGAAGCTTTCAGCAGCAGACAGCCAGTCGGGCGGCAGTGCATGAGATCCAGAGTACAGATGGAAACCTTCCTCCTTATAATGTATCTTTTCTCCAAAAGATAAAATCAAATAAAATGCTGGCAACCACAGCCTACACAGACCTGAATGGCTAATGATCCAATTCAGAAATTTTAATCAAGGGTTTAAGAGCTGGCATGCCTCTAAAAGTTAGAAGAACACAGCGGTATTCAGGACTGAACGCTAGCACCCCAAGACTGAGTTGAGGGCAACAAGGCCTTTAAAGGGGAACACCGTTTTTTTTACATTGGGCCCTTGATTTTACGTAATTACATCATGTTCTACTCACAAGTTTTGTGTTATTTGGAGCCGTTCTGAAGATATTCCGTTAGGTTATATCCAAGTAACGTCTTCCTATGGGCAATCAACTTAAAGGCACAAACTGAACTGTTCATAATGTATTCTTTATGGTACGCCAGCATTCATAACGTAGGCGAATCACTGTCCCCCAGACATCCGCGGTTATATTTTTTATATTTATTTTTTTAAAACAAAGCGGCACGTGTATGACGTCATCTGCAAATGCGCACTGGAGTCGTGACAGGCAGCCCAGACCACAGGCGGCTATGCTCTACCCCTTCTATTCATTTGGCGAGCTAATCTGAATTGTTCAATTCCATTTCGAGAGCGAGATCATCTGTGGTAGTAGCACTAGAAATCTTCCAGGCATGTAATTAAAACTAGCAGCTGTTCAGCGGACAGGAAGAATGAATGGTGGCCGGCGCGCGCTGCTTCGTTTTCAAAAATATAAATATAAAAAATATAACCGTGGATGTCTGGGGGACAGTGATTTGCCTATATCTTATGAATGCTGGCGTACCATAAAGAATAAATAATGAACAGTTTAGTTTGTGCCTTCAACTCGTTGCCCAAAGGAAGACGTTACTTGGATATAATCTAATGGAATATCTTCAGAACGGCTCCAACTGACACAAGACTCATATGGGTGAGTAGAACATGATGTAATAACGTCAAATCAAGGGCCAAATGTAAAAAAAAAACGCATTCGCCTTTAACCATAAACTTTGTGCTCATCATTAAAGTCAATTTTTTTTTTAATTACTTGAAACCTGGTGGCCTAAAAGAAGTGTCTTATTCATGTATAAAAACATTTTTCCTAAATTGTGGAATAGTCATCTGAAAGACTTATATCCCATTTTCTAACACAACACCAGTCCAGGGGTGTCAAAGCCCAGTAGAGCTACTATCTTGCAACATTTGTGTGGATCCTAGCATTGACATTCCTCAATAAAATGAATTCCCTCAGCTTTTTCTTCAGCTCTGCAGGAGCCTGGAAAAATTGTTAGAGAAAGGTGTGAGGGAGAAGGGATGAAGCTGAAAGTTACAGTATTTTAGCTTTACAGGACTGGAGTCAATTTAAGTTTCACACATATATGATGGGATTGTAGTTTTCATCTGTTAAATCAGGAATCTGCAGCATTGGCTTTTTTGCTTATTTAATATATCACATAATAACAAAAAGCTCTTTTTATGTGTGCAGTTCTTTTGTTATGTGTCCCCACAAAATGATAAATTTGGTCTTGAGCCGCCACTGGTATCAGCCCTTTGACTGGCATCTTGGCTCCCTCCCCAGTGCTCTGTACAGACAATTTTAGTACAAACACTGGTTACATTGAAATTTATCAAAATTGCACTGAAACGTTGCTTGACTTTGGGCATAATGGCTGCGGAAACTGTGTGTTTGAACACGTTTGCCTCCTTATTTGCACATATAAATGAGAAAAGCTCTGTGAAAACATGAACCGGCCCCCCATCAGACTCTGTCATCAACTCAACCTGGGCCCTTGCCCAGGCGGGGAGAGCCTTGAAAGCA